AGGGTGTTCACGCAGCCCTGGGAGTTGATGCGGAGTTGAGTGTTGTTCATGATGCGGAGTGTGGACTCGGGTTCGATCACCCACTCCGAGCGGTTGCCCAGGGTCTGGTGCAGCGCCAGGAGGTCCATGTAGCTTCGCATGTGCTGGAACTCCTCGGCCGTGGCCATGGTGGCGTTGAAGCAGTCGGAGGTGAGCAGGTCGTAGGTCTTCTTGCCGTTCACCTTCTCGATGTAGGTGCAGAACAAGAACACGGCCGTCTTCTTGTCGCGCCAGTCCTGCGATTCGCTCACCTCCGCGATCGTGTTGTTGTCGGGCGAGTCCATGGACGAACACGCCGTCGCCACCAGCCTCTCGCGGCTGAAGATTATCACGTTCCGCTCTCGCATCTCCAGCTTGGTGCACTTCCGCTCGCAGTCGCGCCAGTACTTGACGATGTCCTTGAGCTGGTGGCACTTGCCGTCCTTGCAGGTGAACACGCCGTCCAGCCGCTCGCTGCATTGCTCCTCGTTGCACTCGATAGATTTCACGGACTTCCTGCGGTTGGTGCAGACGAAGGCCGGGGTGATGTCGCGACAGCCGTTGTCGGCGTCTTTGGTGCAGTTGAACATCCCTGTCAGGTCGTGGCATTCGCCTTTCTTGCACCACTTGACAAACGTAGCGTTCACGTCCAAGGCCGAGCAGTTTTCGTCCGAAATATCCACACAGTCTCTGAAGTTGACCCTGGAGCCGTTGTTTCTCACCATGACGTGAATCTGCATGCAGGTGCCCGAGCCCTTCGAGAGGCACCACTCCGAACAGGTGGACCAGTGGCACTGCAGCTTCTTGCCGCTCGCCGAGATGTCCTTCGCCGTAATGGTCGTGCACATAATGGGCGTCGTGTGGAAGTTGAAGGCCAGTTCATCCTTGGACGGGATCACGACAATCACGGCGAGATAGAGCAGCGCCACACCGGACAGGATCGCTGTCATCTGACAGATGCAGATACTAAAGCAAATCTTTTTCTCGGCCGTCATCTTTGCTTCTTGTTGCGATATTAAACTATACACCAAACACAGTTAACAAACAGGACTTTTAAGCCTGAAAGCGGCTTCGCCCGCCCTCATAGGCTGAAGTCCACCATCACGAACACGCACTGCGTATGCGGTGGTCAACAATCGTTGGCACTTTTGCCCTGAAGGCCCATGGAATTTCGGCGCTGATCTTCTTTCATGGCCCCTCACAGGAAAGAGGATTCTGACAGCATACCTCTATGTGCAAAACACTCGTGCATAACAACGTCAAACAGCTTGTCCTATTACACTGCACACTTTTCTTTACACGATCCAAAAACAATACACATGCTTCCGCAACAGTCACTGTCCTGGCAAAGATGGCGGAGTGACTGTGGAGACGCAGGCGTCAACCCTGAACTGCGCGCGCACCCGGGTCGACCGCAGCGCCGAGGGTGCATGATGCGAAAGTTCGCCCGGTGGCTCATGGCGATTACTAATGACCTCGCACTCTTTTACTCTCTAACAATTTAAATGTTTGTTGATGCGAATTGCTGTATCAGACAAACATTGTAAAATTATGCCGTAAAACCAACGTATACGTTTTTACTGAAGAACGATTGCAAACGTGCGCTTAATGCGTAGAGTGCGCATGATCATAGGCTGTGTTTATTTTAATTTTTCCCTTAAATTAGCCAAATAAATCGCGGAACACTTATTAGAACGTCTTTGAGACAATTTCGATATAACCGGAATGCGACAGTTTGTGCAGAGTTAATTTCTGTTTCGTAAGAAAAATACCGACCAGATCAATACTAGAGAGCTGGCGGGCGGCAGGCATGGCCGACTCCCTTGTCCCGTTCTCTCTGTTTGGGCGGGGCGCCGGGAAGGAGGGGGAGTGGGTGGAGGGCGGGGGAGGAGAAAGAGGGGGCTGGGCGGAGGGAATGGAGGGGTGGGTGAAAAGGAGAAGGGGGGGGGGGGGGAGGGGGAGGAAGAAGAGCTTGGATTGACGAAGGGAGAGGGAAGAAAGTCGGGCGGCTGTGATGTGGAAGAAAAGGGATAGAACGTGATGAAAGGAGAGAAGGGCGGGTTCAACTTGATGAAGATAGGGGGAGTGTGAAAAGGAGAAAGATGGAAAGGATGGAATAATATAAAAAGGAGAAGAACAGGAAAGGGAGAGGGGGAGTGAATGAATGAACGAGGGGGCGTTTCGGAGTCGGGAAGTGAGGGGGGGGGGATATGTTGAAGGAAGGAGATGGAGGAACGGTATTGTTAAGTGAGGAAATAGCATAATGGTGCATTACAGCACAGTCATCACTGAAATTATGCCTAGACGTACTGTTAACGATAAACACAAAACACTCTTCTCGAGTGTCAAAACCAGTGGTAAATTTTAAAGAATATTATCAGAGAGCAGTTTCCATTTAGGATAGAATTCCCGAAATGTACTGAAAAAGAAATATATTCCCTTTTTTCCTTTATTTACACAAACTGCGTTGTTATCTAATTCG